ATAAAATTCAGGGAACAATCTTTCGTTTTCGATAGGGAAAATCACCACTCTAAAGTCTTCTAAAAAAAAGGTCTGTCAACGAGAACGTCGTTCTTGTTAGAGCATAGCGAAACAACGAATGCAGACTGCATCATACGTTTTAAAGGACCCAGTTGCTCTGCTATATCACTGTTAACTACGTAAATGCTGTGTTGGGTTATGGGTATATGAATCGAAACGATAATCAATATGTACATGACGTCAATGTTAACGACAAATCACGCTTACAACACGTTAAGAAGATATGTTATCAAAGAATACGAACTGCAATCGTTAAATATGATATCATCATACTATGTCATGTTTTGCACGAATGACATTTGAAAATTTAATGAGTCAGTCAATAGATATGTACTATTTCATACAGGCGCTGTCCGTAATCAGGAACAAAGCATGGTCACCTGAATGTCATACGTCGCTTCAATATCGTTTAATCTGGTACTGCCAAGGTTCCTAATTGAAATGCAACAACTGAACAAAGGCTTGTTTTCATATTTGTGACATCAACGACTTACGATATAACATAGCTCTGATTTCTAGTTCTTTGTAGTACAAGGATATGAAGCTGGACGTTGATGATGCAAGCAAATATGCCAACAACAGTTCCAGTGTGTATCCTGTTATCGTCTGGGAACGCTATATTACTAAACTGACTCGGAATTATATTGTGATGATAATCGATGAAGCAGAAGACGATTATCCTTCCTTAACACCTGGTCTTATTCTTTTGTGGTTTCAGTAGTCGGTGTGCAAATCAGTTTATTGTTTTCATTATTCCATAACTGTCGATGAGATTGTATGAGTTTATAGTTCTGAAGCTTGGTAAATGGTTTGTACATATATATTCGATTGAAAGCTGTTTATGTGCAAGATGTTGGGGCCATCCGCGGTTTTGTCTCTATTGACATTCGTTTGGGTGTATGAGAACTGAATGGTAATTGGTTGGTGTGTAGGTAATGTGTAGGTGATATGTTATGAGAGTTTTCATTGGTTGTGCGTTTGCCAGGAAGAAAGTGGGCACTAAATACCATTCGTGGCGTCAACTAACCTTTTTACGACTGTCCAAGTCGGAGCCACGTGGTATCTTAAGGCATGTTTTATAATGATAGAACATTGTACATAGGTTACTTAGCGAGTAGGCCGGAAATCCTCATTTAGTTGTACAAAGTTTTGTGTCCACAATATATCTGCAGGATGAAAGGGCGTGAAAGCAGTGAATTTTCATTGTTATTTCTGTTAATCTAATTTATCCACTGTTATAAAATATATAGTATTGTTTTCAAGTTGTCGATACACAAAGCTTCATCCAAATTCTAAGCCTAAATAATTGGTGTCGCATTCACCCGCTACACATTTTTATCGAATTTGTGTGTTGAAGTTATACTTTGTTCAAATGTATCGGCTGATCAACCCTGATGACCCACCATCTAGAGTGGTTCCGGGTTAAAGGTTGAAACCCACGATGCTATTTCCTCTGGTGATAAAAAAATTTCAGTATAAAAGAAGCATATACAGCACAACAGAATGAATTAAACTGCACCATATAAACGTTTCTTCATTCTGGATTTCGGCAGTGACACTCATTGCCTAAGGAAGATCAAAATAGGTTACAAGGAAAAATATCAGCATTTAGCTGTGAATGTGCATTATCTCAATAATCTAACTAGTATGCTAATTTACAAGTATCGAATATATTTCCCAAACAATGTATATATTCCAAATCATGCCACCATGCAACTTTAATAAAATTTTCACTTAAGAAATCTTGTGAAGCCTATTTTGTCATAAAACTCTATATTTACCGAGCAACGGCAGAGAAACAGATATGATACAGTGCAGAACTGAGTTAGAACCTTGAAATGTTATGCCAGGAATAGTTATACTGACATTGCCTTAAAACATGAGAGTTTCAATTTTCACATGATTCGCGCCAAAAATCCTGACCAGTTGGTTGTGAAAAAATACTAATGCTAAAGCTCACACCTGTAACCCGGTTTACAAATAATCATTTTCTTAGTTCCGCAGACATTTTCCAGTGATTTCAATACTTAAACAAGCTAGCTGCTGTTTGCCTTAACAAGCATCAGTCCTACATAGCCAAAAACATATTTACGTTCCAATTAGGTATAAACACCGCGATGTGTTTGATGACATACATGTTTGTACTGATGTAACCACAGACGGTAGAATTTTTCGTTTTCTCATTAATGCAGGATTCTAGATCAAATGTGTTCTCATTGTAAAGTCACGAATCACAGGTCTGATAGTATATGCCTTGGATTGCCCAGACAATTTTCAAATTCAGTATACAATTGCGCTCCACGAATACCGTGTTTAATTTCAATTCAACTGTCAAAAGCGGCCGTGAAATGGTGATGAATTACCCTTCTTAATTCTAGTGTAAGAAAATGCGTTTCCTGGTAGTCGGGAAGCACAGAACATCGCGTGCAGTTGCTAAGTCTACAATGCCGGATACATAACATTAATACCAATGGAGAAATATTCTAAAGACAAACTAAGAACATTGTCTGACTCAGGAGGTATCTGAATTTCAGAACAGTAAACAATGAAAATAAAAAGTCAGTTCTTGGTTGTTGGTAAATCATATGGCACAATTCATTGTGCTCCATGGCAATCTTAAATTCATATTATTTATTGACACACGAGATAGTACTCATACAAATTCATTAGATCAGCCCAATACATTAAGCTTGGTCCTTATAAACAATTTCATTGCATTTTCAGTTGATAATAAAAAGACGTACTTATTGATTTGTAAAACAAGACATAGAACTTTTTGCAATTTGTACCTGTGAAAATCAAATTTTTTAAAAGTTAAGCGAAAAAAAATTGAACAACATTAAGAAGCTTGTTAATCCTTATAAACCTCGTTTGTGAATTTAGGGGCCTAAGAAGAAGTGAAGTCATTGTAAAACAACGCAGATTGAAATGTGCATGAACACAATTATTTAATAGATTCTAAAATGTGTTTAACGGGATAATTCCAAAATTAATGTACATTTGTATATTATCAACTATCCCATTATTCAAAGGAGTTAACAGTTGACATGGGGGTTACAGTACCAGAGAACTAAGGTCAACAAGCAGCGTGATATGGCAAAATAAAATTCGACACAAAATCAGTGAATTATTGGAAGGGTACTGTACTGTAACATTAACAAAACGAATCCGGACAACATATTAAAATTACTGGTATATTGTATTCCTTGAAGGATCGTTTAAGTAGCCTTGACCCCAGGCCATGCATCATGTGCGGCAATGCCGGTCTGGAAATGGACTAAGGACGGCAATTAGCATTGGTAGAAATTAGCAGTAATCAGCCAAATACAATTACACGTGGCAGCGAGCCCAGATAGGTGACTTGAGAATACAAATGAATGCATGCACAATATTTCTAATGCTTAGTCAGCTTAAAGAAAATCAAACGGAATTATTTTCTCTGTCACATTTTGTATGTTCTTGTGGGACGCCATGTATAACTATACAAAAAGCGATTAAACTTGCACGTGATGTTTGTTTTTCTTTCCCTTTTTTCTCTCTTAAATTCATTTTCTTCCAAACGTCTTGACCCCAACATATTTGTGCCTCCAAGTAGAGTGCTCAACTAGATAAGATAGACTATGGCTTCTATTTTCATGCCATGATATATTAAAATGATTTAAATGGCACTTGGGCTTCCGGTGTGTCGCTCTGTATTGAACGGAAAGCATAAGGATGGGTTAGCCAGTTGTCGGAATAACGTTTGTGACTGAGTAGAGATCATGCTATTGTGTATAATTTTGTTTTCTTGTTTGTTTGTTTGTTTGTTTGTTTGTTTGTTTGGAGAGATATGTTCCCACAGCAGCCCGGACCTGACTTTCCTATTAACGTAGCTGTTGTGAGGACATCAAGTCTCTAATTAACAAACCGTCTTCCTGCAGTAAACAATGTTGTTTATTCACTCATTGTCTCAAATAATGTCAGCAAATGCCAGATGACGAGATATTAGAACTATATCAATACCAGGACCTTATTAATTCTTCAAGGTCAGCAAAATGCGGTTAAAAAGCGCAATTACCAGGGTGGTTGTAAAGCATACTTCACATTTTAAGACTCATCAACCATCCAGTTTGTCAACTTTCCGGTCGGTCATTACACAAATAAACGAGTTTATTTTCAACCTCTGTCACAAGATATTCATCAAAACGCTCATCAATGGTTGATCAAAGGAAGCCTTGTCGCGGAAAACGGCAGCTCCAAATCAACATAAAGCAACTTCAGTTTACTGATACTATCAGGATTATGTCTGCAACTTTGTAGAAATTATTAAATAGATCGAGATACTTTCTCCAGAAAGATAATGATGCTTGTACCAACGTGTTTACGCCGTTAGCGTTATCATCCACGTATCTGTGTGACGTCATGTATCAGTGGGTACAGAGCTAGAAAATATCTCCATCAGAGGACAGGAAACTGATATCTTATATACCAATAAATCTATCTACATTCGAAAACAGAACATGATAAAGCTGTTCAGAAACACAAAAATAGAAATTATCATTCTTAATGGAACATAGACTTGTGGTCAAAATAGCCAGTTCAAAAATAGTTCAAAAACACACACCAATGAAAAGCACCCTTTTATAATTAAGAGTTAGATACAGTTGAGCCAAACAATGAATTTAAATGCATGATACAGCTGTTTCGTCCTTCTAAGACTCGTCGGTGACGCTAAGTGCCTAAAGTTTGAAGCCCAGGAGGCGACTTAGGAAAATCCTAAGAATATTATAGTTGTTTATATATATATTGTGCACATATATTTTAGGTATGTGATATTCTGTGTTGATGTTTGATAAGACCGACTGATGTGATGGAAAAAGGTAATATATTATGAAAATATCTTATTGATCGCTGAGTTTTATTACAACCAATCAATAATTGTCCTAGAGAGGTATACTTACCGGCTTGAGCAGCAAAAATAAGAGGTGTGGTCCCATCTTTGTCCCCGATGTTAGGATCTACCCCTGGGGTCTCCGACAACAGCTCCACCACCGGGGTCAGTCCTAACACGCATGCGTGACTAAGAGCAGTCTAAAAAATTAAAAACTCCAAGATGGTAGAAATGTATATAGAAATTATTGCAAACATTCAAAATAAATTTTCTGATTGTCTGATTGTGAATGGATAAACGTAACACCTCGTATTATTGATATAGGTACATTGTTTGTAATATTAAACAACATTTGAAATCTATTGACTCTGTACTACACGCATAAAATCACGGACGTATAATGATACAACGTACTCAAAACATCACCTAAAATTTGTTCACAAATCTCGTAAGATTTGTTCACAAATCTTATCAGAAGTGAAATCTCTTGAGACCCTTAAATCAGTTTAATGTTTAAACTATGTAATCCTTCTCCTGAAAGTGCTGATCCATTACTATTTGAATATTTTAATGTAGGATAACTCGATGACTACATAAGCTCACCCTTACCTATGTTTGGAATATCCGAGCTAAAATGTAAAGAGTATACATGCATTGAATTTATACTTTTAATGGTACATTGTTCTGTTTTATTGTATATTCAGTTTTTACCTACAATCATACTACAGGAAAGCTGGTAAGTTTATTCCGAGCCACCATTAATTCTCACAACAATCAAATCTAGTCACATAATACCGATATTTGGGTTATTAGTCTAACTGCGTCCTGTTCAATGTTGAACGACAAGTAGGCAGCACGAGGGTCGTTTATATTGTTTCAGTATGTTACACTACAGTAGCAGTATCAATACCTTGCTGTTTTTACCTTTAGCGAAACGTTTCACTAAGTTGTCTAATTAGCGTAACGATTTTTAATTTTCCTGTCGTGATGTTTTATTCAAAGACGGATATAACCCCGCTTCCCAAAATGTATGGTGTTTACACGCAACGATCGATTTAATACCTAAAGACTCGTTAGAAATAGTATGACTTGAAAATAAACTTGATTTATTTTATAACAATTGCAAAACAAGTTATGTCAGCTTATACTTATCACCCTTGTTGGCCCGGATGTAAGCGCGCGAGGGGTCTTATTGTAAGAGGAAACCTGAATACCCGGGGAAAACTTACGTGGTCGGGCAGGTGACCCTTAACTTTTCACGTCCATTATGAGAATCGAACCCCGGACGGCTAGGTGAAAGGCAAGCGCGTTGCCATTACGCAACCCGACCACCCAGTATTATATGACTTATGAATAGTCGTCAGCTAGATGAACAACGTATCACATAGGTTTATAGAGAATGGGAAAATTTTATTTTATTTACAGTTGGCTTGTTTTTTTTTTTTTTTTGTTGTTTTTGTTTTTTTGGGGGGGGGGGGGGGGGGGGGGGGGGGGGGGGGGGGGGGGTGGGGTGGGGGGGGTGGGGGGTTCGAGTTCATAATGGTTGGTAACCCGTTAGTAGAACTGTTATGTACCATATATCACTTTCGGAGCATGACGTTACATCGATTTGCATAGATTTGCAATGTAGGTGTCGCTAATGAAATAGAAGGCGCTTACCCTTCTATATCACCTGGTCTCATTCCTCATGTACTCTTATAAGTATCTCAGTGTAAAACTTTTTTAGCGCATGTTTTATCTTTTGTACGTTTGCAGGTCAGATCTTTTTCCTCATGTACTTTTTCATGTGTCCTAGTTAATAACTTTAGTTTGTTCACATTTTCCCACCTATTTAGTTTTATTTATGGTGTATGGTATACCCTAGTACTCACATAATGTTCATCTTATTAACAAAACGAAATTAAGCCTTTCTATAGAGGTACAATCAATATCATTGATAATGACATACTTATCTCTGTGAATATAACTGTTACATGTTTAAGGTTAATACAGCCTAGCTGAAACGGTGATAACGATTCGTATAGAGCTAATGAAGCAGGATACAGTTAAAAGTACACACGCAGGCAACTGCGGAAACGGCATGAAAAATAAGGGTAGTTCATCTTTATTTATAGAACAGCAAATTATCATAATTACATTTAGCAAACCGGGGGTTTAGGATGATAAATAATTCCGAAAAATATACTCCTGTAAGAAAACGCATTAACGTATTTAAACAAGATTCTAAGACTGATGAAAGACGCGTCAGTGTTATTGATTGTGGGTGGGTTGGGGGCGGGGGGGGGGGGGGGGGGGGGGGGGGGACAACCATTGTAACTATATATTACCATTTACATTAACGAAAGATATATTACACAGGATTGCAAAAGTATTTGTTCTGAATCCTGTATTATACAGACTCATATTGGAAAACGATTATAGAATTCAAGGTACTCTAACACCATTATAATGTATTTAGTTCTTGGTTCATTTTAACACATAATACACTTCAATGGCTGTCTGAACAGTATATTTTCTAAGTTCTTTGTTACGATTGCAAATTAACGTCAAAAAATGATTTTTTTCAGTTTTTATTTAAATCTTTAATTTCGAAACGCCTGTTTATCACACAGCTTATGGTGTTAGATATTGCTACGGTAAAGGTTAGCTATCTAAGCAGGTTTTGTTAGTCCGATTCTGTCGAATTCGAGTTGTAATATGTCCTTGTGTGATATGACGGAACGTATCTTCTGTTTCTCCTTTTGTGATATCTTTCGTCAGTTTAACTCTGATTAGACGAATACAAAATACACACATATCGTCTTCGAAAAACTGATTCTATAGATTACATAGTACTTACATCCTACAATACGTCATATTGATAGACACAATTATCCTTGTAACAGTACGTGTTGATATGTATTAAACCTAGACTGGATCTTCAACATTTACTTTTTGTCTAGCTATTGGTATATACGTTGACAAAACCCTCCGAATTCCGAATTTTTCCAAAGCGTTAAACAGATGAGTGAGATATTAAGTAATCTCTATCTAAATATATAATTTCACACAAATTATATATGCTGTTTGAAAATTTCTGTGATAGCAATGCTTCAAGCAGACTTTGTTTCCATCACTAACTGCTGAATTTGGTCCCATTCTGGTAGCAATTTTACCAGCACCACAAGGGACTGAAAACAATGATGATGTCGAACGCGTTTTGAAATCAATTACAAGAGTCTGCGCTCAACACTTAATAAAACCACTTGCTATAAAAAGGTTATAGTAATCTCATATAATTCGTAATTTGTAGTCGGAAGCAAATGTTAATCTCCGTTTAGTCGTTGGCATTTGGTTCTAGATGAAGATGGAATCCTTGCCGTTCATTAACTCATGTATTACTTTGTTTCTTTGCTACTCCGTTCTAACCTCGCTAGACGTTCATCTTCATTTTAACAATGACGCAGTTCAGAACATACACAATAGGGCCAGCATAGCTTAGTTGCTGAGAGCGTTAGACTACGTAACTTCCGGTGAAAATCCGAGGTGCGTGGTTGTTTGTTTTCCCTTTTCTCTGAAAGCTGGGAAACCGATCTGTCGGTGCCCAAATGGTTGTGTCCTTGGCCTTGACATGCTATCTTAATAACTCTGGATGTCGACCGTCCTCCCGTATGTTGTTCAATGAGGTATCATCTAGCTATGACAAGTATACCCTGTATCAAAATGACAAGTTTTATACGGAAAACCTATCCAGTGAGAGCAAAGTAAAAAGGATATGTATTTAAGTATAATGTAAATGCATATGAAATATCACGGCTGAGCCTCGAACTCCTGAGTCGTAACTGGTCACCACTGATTGTTGCCGATTCGCTTGTTTTATATAATCACCAACCTCTCAGCGCCGCCAACTTGTTTCCGGTAGCCACATCTCAGACGATGATTTCAGGACTTAAACTTTATTTCCAAAAATTGTGTTTTTGTATCAAATAGAAATTTATTTGATGACGATTTTTCATGTATCAGATAAAGTGATAGAGCAAAAAAGAGAAGTCAACAATCAACATATTGGATTAGAAAGTTCATCTTTTGAGTATGATCGTTTAGAAGCTTAGCAATACTGACTCATTCAAACGTTTTAACGATTTGGATACGGAAGAAAAACCGACACATGAATATTGGGCGATGAGTATATTTCGGCAATTTAACTTTGACAAATGTCCCCGTATGCTCAGATCATCTAATTTGATCACGATGTAATCAGATCAAATGTCGTTTAATTATATAAATAGTATTTGAATTATTTTCATTCTACTGCAATAAGATTCATTTTAACAATATAATGAGAGAATACGAAAATATCTAAAATCGACCTATGTTTTCGAATCAGTTTAAAAACCGAAATCAACGAAAACAAAAGGCAATAAAATCTACTGAAATAATCTTAACAATCAGAAGGTTTACAGCAGATACTACACGAGCTAATGTCGCTTGTCAATACAAATTTAGAATTATCTGCAAAGCAAATGGCTAAATAAGATGGCAAAATGACCCATAAAGATTCTACATACTTCTGTGTAAATATAGCATAGTTTGTGTGTTGATATGACGTGTAGAACTATTTTTGCATAAACAATAGTATTATATCATGTTTACAAGAGAGAAAACAGAATTATAAACAATTTTATATTTTGACGACCGGAATTGTTCCGTAAATTATATTGACAATGCACATTAATAATCCCTATTGCAACGTGTTATATGCCAGTAGTACGTCATCCGTCTCGTGGGTCCTGACCGCGCTGAACTTACAAATCGATTTAGTCCAACCTGCACGTCATGGTTTTCACAAACAAAGGAATTATCGGATGTGAATTATACATCATATCAAGCTATTTCCGTGTGTAACCTTGCGCTTAACACAATTCAACTCATACCGAGCTACCAATCAAGGAGTCTGCGTACTGGTCATATTGTTTCATACACTCACAAATGAAATATGAAGGCCAGCTTTAAGTTTGATCACTGTTGTGGCTGATTTGTGCCATTTCCTCATCTTTGTTCAGAAAATTGTCCACTTTTGTGGATGTTCACGCAGTATTCAAACGGTTTTCACGTGGAAGATGAGTATAGGAGAACCCTGTACTCAAACTCTGCATGAACAAATAGTTTGTTTAATTACTGTATTACATGTAGTGTAAACAAATCCTAATTCTAACAACAT